TCCCTCAGATCCAGCTCCTCAATGTTATTCATTTCATGTAAACCTAAATAAGGAAAAATAAGTAGCATCCTTACAGAATATAAAACTGTTGTAACACTTCATCTTAAAATACTACTGTATATGATGTCCATTCTTAAAAGAGTAATGTAAATGGCTGTTAAGCAACCCAAAACTACAACAAAATATATACGCACCACTTATGTGAGAAAAAAGATTGTTATTGGCTATGAGAACTATAAGAGAGTAGGTAGCAGTAGGAGAGAGACGGGGAAGGAGCCGTAGTTGGTTGTGGCTCAGGTCTAATAACGACACAGTAGGGAGGTACTCCAGAGCTGAGGCATCCTCCAGTTCACAATGGCTTAAGTCTAGTATCTGTTCAAACAAAAACATATACAGTATTAGCACAATAAACCTCAAATTTCTACTAAAGGCGCTATCATACAAATTGCCAGAAAATATATACATGTACCTAAACACTGTAATACGTGTGAACTGTAATTGAAAGCTTAAGTACCAAAAATAGTTTGGTTTCAATAATAATACTGTAATAATCATCATCATCATCATAAACGTTTTATGTACATTTTCTATGCTTGCAATGGTTAGCCATATAACCATTAATTCATAATATAAATTATGACAGTTTCTATGCCCTAATTACTCCAAAAAAACATCACAGAACGTAAATAACCAATGAGACATAATCCCTTCAAATCTTATCAAGAAAAATCCACCAAATTTCATCAGTGCTCAAGCATTTAGCTTTATAAACAGTACAGACCAACAGAGAAGCAAGCAAATACCATACTGAATGACAGAATATACAAAAAATTCAAATGTAATACAATTTCAAATAATCCCCACAATAGTAGTACAAGATACAGTAAGTACTTACATATTTCTTGCAACATACCTTAAGGTTTGGCAGGAGACTAAGGCTGTGGTCTAAACTGTGCAATGAGTTGTGAGCCAACACAGCTTCCTGCAGTTGCTCCCATGCAAACTCTCCTGCCTGATATACAGTATAAACACTGTTAGTTAGTTTACAATACATTAGTGGAAAAACTAAAAAGGCACTATAACAAATGGAAAAATAATATATATATATATATATATATATATATATATATATATATATATATATATATATATATATATATATATATATATATACAGTATTACCCCGCTTAACGCGCTTTCACTTAACGCGTTTTCGCATATACACGGTGCCTTGCCAAAGCTGAACTTTCACTTAACGCGGATTTTTCCACAGCAACGCGGTGAGTGTCCGGCTCGGATGCTATTTTTAGATTTTGACCACGCGCCACCCGCCCGCCCGCCCTCCTGCCTGCCTGCCTGCCTCTCCCTCCTCCTCCCTCCGCTTGGGCAAGCGGCGCGGTAAGGTTGCGCAGTGTGTGTCTTTGTTGCGTTATCACTGACGTCATATGACGTCTCGGACTGTGATTGGCCATGCAGCCCTACCCCCCTCTGCTGCTAGCTGTAATTGGCTTAAAGTATTATGACGTGACTACTCCGGGGAGGGAGGGAGGGAGGGAGGAGAGACGACGCTTGACCTAGCCGCGGCAGTTTCATCCCTCAAGGCCACGCCGTGTTAACGCGCATCCATTGTTCCGTAAAATGGCTTCCGCTGGACCACCACCCCCAGAGAGAAACCTTTCCTTACCTGGACCCAGCGGCACTAAACCAAAGAAGACACGACGTTCATTAAGCTACGAGCTGAAGTACCAAATTGTTCAAGATTTGGAGAAAGGAAGACGCCAAGTTGATCTCGCGCGCCAGCATGGCGTCAACGAATCTACGATTCGTACGATCAAGAAGGATGCAGCCAAGATAAAGGAGCACATGAAGCTCACAAAGTCTGCAGGTGCTTCAGCTATCAGGTATTGCCAGAACAGGGTGCTGGCAAAAGTGGAAACTTTGCTGGTGAGTTATTTGGTGCGTCAGGCGCGACGCAACATGGCGGTGGACACGCGCTCAGTGCAGGAGTACGCACGTGAGCTATACACAGCAGTGACACGTAAAATGGGAATTGCAGAGCCCAAACCCTTCAATGCTTCCCATGGTTGGCTGCATAGGTTTAAGAGGAGGAACAAGGTCACCAACATCAGCATTGTTGGTGAGGAAGCGAGTGCTGACCGTGCGGCGGCTAGAGATTTTCCTCCGTTTTTACGTGAGATTATGGAGGAAGGACAGTACAGTGACGACCAGGTGTTTAACATGGACGAATCTGGTCTTTTCTGGAAAAAGTTACCTTCCAAGACCTTCGTTGTCCAGTCTGCGAGCAAGGTAAGGGGCCGGAAGATGCAGAAGGAACGCATCACTGTCCTGTTTACCACCAATGCCTCCGGTACCTGTAAACCAAAGTTATCGGTGATTCACAAAGCCCGCAAGCCGCACGCCTACAAGAATATGGACATGAACAAGCTTAATGTCCACTGGCTAACCGCACGTAAGGCGTGGATGTCCTCTTCTCTGTCCCTCTTCTGGTTTGACAACTTTTTTGTTCCTGACGTGCAGAAATTCTGCGAGCAACAGAATGTTCCATTCAACATTTTGTTGCTCCTTGACAACGCACCTGGACACTCGCCCCTACTAATGGATCGTCACCCCAACGTAAAAGTGGTCTTCCTTCCTCCCAACACCACGTCATTAATCCAGCCTATGGACCAGGAGTTAATCTGCAACGTTAAAGCTGCATACTCGGCAAAGAAATTCAAGCTCCTGAACGACTCTACCAACACCAAGGATGAGTTGCGTAAGCTGGGTGACACTGACAGCGAGAGTAAAAGCGACGAGGACAAGGAACAAGAGGCGGCGACTCAAGAAGTTCTCGTCAAACAATTTTGGAAGAAGTTTAACGTCAAACAAGCTGTAGACTTCTTGGTGGAGGCATGGGATCTGCTGTCTACTACTACGATTCGTCACGCATGGAGACATGTGTTGCATGGCATACCAGGTGAGAGGAGGAGTCAATCTGTTACTGGTCAGGTTCAGACTGTTGCAGTAGCAGTGGACCTTGCCAGAGAAGCTGCGCAGACTGTTACAGCTGAAGGCTTCTCCGAGACCACCAACGAAGACATCATGGAGGTGATCAGAGATCCTGAAGTGACTGCCGACGAGATGTTGGAAGAAGAACCCGCCAGTGAAGAGGAGGAAGAAGGTGCGTCATTCTCCGAAGAACCTAGTTTAAGTCATAGTGATATTAAGTGTGTCATAGAGTTAACAGAAAAAATTAAGTCCATCGTTTCCCGCGACACTGATGATGAACGCCATGACGTCTTCCATAACCGACTGGTGCAGGCTATGGAGCCGTACATCAAGGTGTATCACGACAACATCAAAGCCAGCCGTCAGCAAAGCATAACCGAGTTCTTCGCCTGCAACCCACCACAGCCAGCCCAAGGCAGTGATAGTGATAGTGAAGGTGATTTTGAGGGATTTGTCAGGGAAGCCATGACAACTGTAAGTGACAGTGATATTGATTCACCTAGTAATGGTGATTCACCTAGTAATGGTGATTCACCTGAGGGGCAGTAATCTGCCCTCTGCCTCGGAACCAGCCTCCATCCCCATATGCCGACCCATCTCTTCTACTACCGTGAGTGTTCCTTAAAACTTTTCGTTTTTTAACCTATTCTTTATTTTTCCTATGTTAACCTTTATCTTTCCTAACCTAACCTCTTCTATATTACTTGTTTTTCATGCCACCATAAAGTTAAGATAGAATTTTTACTACAACATAGTTATTTGTCGTCAAAAAGTGGAGTTTGGGGGTCGGGCTGGGTTCTATTGGAATTAATCCCATATGTTCTGTTATTCACTTAACGCGGTTTTCACTTAACGCGGGACCCTCTGGGTTCAATTGACCGCTTTAAGTGGGGTACAATCATATATATATATATATATATATATATATATATATATATATATATATATATATATATATATATATATATATATATATATATATATATATATATATATATATATATATATATATATATATATATATATACAGTATTACCTCTGCCTAACGCTATGCTCATTTTTAACGCTGCTTTTATCATATACGTGCCTCGCCAGAGCTGAACTTTCACTTAACGCGAATTTTTTCATCATATAATGCTGAAGCGGCAAGCACCATGCGCCGCTGTCGCCCAGTCATCAAAATACACGAGTTCTTCACTCCGCCACCCACCACAGCCGGCCCAAGTCAGTGATAGTGATAATTATAGTGAGGATATGGACTTATATGGCCTTTGAGGGGTTTGACAAATAGGCCCTGCAAGCCTCTGTGGTGGATAGTGATACAATTGATACAAGTGATACAGGTGAGGGCCAATAATCTGCCCTCTGCCTCGGAACCAACCCCCATCCCTGTGTGCCCAGCCATCTTTTCTACTAATGCAAGTGTTAAAAAACCTAATATTATTGATATTTCTCTTAATTATTAATTGTGTGTGCATACCATCATAAAGTTAAGATAAAATTTTTACTACAACATAGTTGTGTGTCGTCAAAAAGTGGAGTTTGGGGGTCGGGCCAGTCTCTATTGGAATTAATCCCATATGTTCTGTTGTTCACTTAACGCCACTTAACGCGTAATTCTGTGGGTTTCAATTGGACCGCGTTAAGCTGGGTAACTACTGTATATGTATATACAGTATATATATATATAATAATATATATATATATATATATATATATATATATATATATATATATATATATATATATATATATATATATATATATATATATATATATATATATATATATATATATATATATATATATGCTGATAACTACAAGGAAAAAGAAAACACGAAGTTCCCAAGCGCTTTCGTGTAATTCACATCTTCAGGGGTGAGTACAGACTAAGGAGAAGTACATAACAAGGTATATATATACAGAGGAGGGTGAGATCAGGTCCACAATGGTCAGGTATTAGGTAATGACCCTACTAATCTTCAAAAAACACCGCAGCAGTCGGTAGTCAGGTCAGAGGGTAAGATGACATCTTACCCTCTGACCTGACTACCAAGTTTGGCAAAAATAATTTTCAATAGTTGTGTAGAGAGCAGTAGAGAGTAATGAAAAACTGATGACAGACACACTAATAACCATCAGTCTATCCACTTTTCCACATTGATGTATCCAAGAGTAACCACATCCACCCCCATATCAAGTATAATTCCTACAAAAATAGCAAAATGTGAGTAAATTTTATGTTTCAATTTCTCTGGTTAAGAAATAACTAAAATACGATCAGCTTATTACCAAGGTTCCAAAATTGCAGCAATGCTGTGATGGAAGACAGTTACTGGGATTTATATAATGTATCCCACAGAGTTCAATGAATATAATTGATTTAGTTACTGAATAACCATCAAAAACATTGTATGACCTGTAGCTGTACTGTACCTGTAACAGATGTAAAGTGTGTACACACAAATTTTGGTGACTCTCTTTTAATACCACAGTACATTTCAGTCCTACATTTTTTTACTTGTCCTTTCACTGGATTATATATTAAAAACTGATATTTCATTGTATTTTAATTAAGATAAAAATAATGGAGTTAAAATTTACCTTATCACCACCACAACGGATGAACAGATCACTAAGTCGTGTTAGTCCTTTAACTATTATTACTGATCGCAGTGTTGGCCGCAGGGTTTGGAGGGCTTTGAGGCTGGTCACAGGAATGTGCAATAACTCCAGAGCTTGTAAGTTCCGGAAGCAGCGTAAACTTATAGTTTCATTCTGTGGAAGACTTTGTCCTGAAATAATAAAATAATTTAATTAATTTCCCTGTAACAAGACCCAATACCAATCAGTGTACACTAGGCTTTTGCTCCTGATGGAAGAACTTTGTCAAACACCAACATTTACTTTCGGGCGACCATATTCAAGCTCCACTAACTGGTCTACCTCCGTCTCCAACTCTATTGTCCTTTAACAGCTGAAAGCTGAACCAAATGTAATACATCTTCAGTAATTTTACCAAAGCAAATAAATTTAAAAAAAATACATCTCTCCTACAAGGAAACAAAAAAATCTCATATTGTTGTGAATACAATACAGTACAATACCTGTACACCATTTTGTTACTTAACTCCATACTTGAAAGATATTACTCAAACCTCTCACCTCACTTTCGAAAGTTTTCTTCACTTCAACTCTAGTGAAAAGGCCAGAAAACAAAATGCTCTTTCCTTTATCTGCAATTTTCACTACAACCATATAATTTTTATACTCAACATAATATATAGAATCAAATTAATGGTTTGTTTATGCTGTACTATTAATGTTCAATGTACGTTCTAATTACTCACCAACTTTAGCCCACAGTCTTAAACCAAAGATCTTCTGTAGACGGTCATAAATAAACTGAAGGTGTGGGATTGCGGAGTGCTGGCGGTGGTTGGGATGCAGCACATGGAAGTTAGTGTGCTGCTCTATCTCAAGGATTAAACTAAATGCTTCTTGAATTTCTCCAAGTGACCACGTGTCTGTTGAATGAAGATATTGGTTAATGTTCAAAATATCCCAAAGCTATAAATAAAAAGAATTGTATTTGTGATAATACACCTGTCCTCACCAGTTGTAAAAGTCAACCAAACACGCTGAAAATTAAATAATACAGTACATCCAAGGATGTACAAGATGAAAAGAGAAGTGGTTACTGTACAGTACTTAGCCAGGTATATGGCTTATAATCCTCAGGAAGCAAACCTAAAGACTCTCATATATCAGGATACGTGACTTTTCCAATCTAAATTAACATACCAGCTACATAGCTTCCAGTCTCCCAGCCAGGAATTCATGGCTAACGGTGGCAGCCCACTGGGCACTTTCCTCCAAAACTGTTGCCCATTTTGCTGGCTGCTGGCCTGATGGCCCAAATGGACAACAGTTTGGCAGTGAGCTTTGCTGGCTGGGTTAGTGCTCAAATTAGTTTCATATTAGGTGTTGAATATTCAAGTAAATATTTAAATAAATCACGAAACAATAATAATTTAAAATACAGTACAACACATAAAACGGTGACATGTTTCTATTTATTCGTCACTTTAAAACTTCTTTAGTATTATTAAATCATTATTCAGGGTCTTCTTTGACAAGCCAGCCATCGCCAATTAAAAAAAACAATTCACAACACACTCATTGTCTTTTCTTTAACTTTTGCAGATGCCCCATTTGTTTCAGCAATTGAAGAACCATAGCACAATCCTGGAAGGCCTCAACTGTAGTAACAGCATCCATGGCAAACCTCGTCTAGACACTTTGTTGGTATATTGATTGCGTTGGGCAGATGTGCCAACAAAACATCCCAGTGTAACTCAATCGTCTCTTTGTTTTACAGTATATATATATATGTACAGTGGTCCCTCAGTTAACGAACACAATTCGTTCCACAGAATCGTTCGTTAACCGAATCCACTGTTTCAATGAGATATTGGGAAATTGGTTGCAGCTCAGAGAAAAGTACATACAAAGTAAAAAAAAAATGCAGTATAGTGCACTTACTTTGAGGTGTATATGTAGAAGGTTCCTGGTTGATGATGATGATGGGAATTAGAAGTGGGGGTGGAAAAGAAGGGAGAAGAGAAAGCAGTGTGGATGGAGGAGAAATCACCTTTCAGAGGACCCATGCTTGATGCCGTCATTTCACCAATAAAATTTTAAGTTCACTAGGTGTAATTCAAGATTATTTTATTTAAATCAACACTGCACTGCGCTATATATTATCAATATGTTAACTAAATTTCAGAATGACCAATAATTTTCGTGTAAAAATGCAAAAATATTCATGATACCAACAAAATCGATGTTCACTCCACTGTAAACAAAGCCAAACTGACACCTGGTGGGTGAGTCAAGCGGCTGATGGGCGCACAAAAAACTAGTTCCCTGTAATTACTGTAATTACAATACGGTATTACAGTACTGTACTAGTATCAGCTGGACTGCACTTGCTTGAGAAGTATAAAAACTGGAATGAATTATTGAAAAAAGTTAACTGGTACATCATAACAGTTCATACTACCACAACTCAAGCCCTGCCTACCTTTGATTAAATGGATATTAAAATATTATTAAAAATCATATCCTTTACTGACAAACAACCAGATTCAATAAAGCTTTCCAACTGAGAAATGAAGAGCAGCCTGTACCATAAATATATCATATGGCATTAAAAGAAAGTCACAACTACTCTGTACACTGAAAAAGTTGTGAAATGACAACAACACTGAAGTAGGTATACCCCTATTTACAATGGGATATGTTCCCAGCCAGTGCAACATCCACATGAATCACAAAAAAAAAAATCCTACATTAATAATAGACATAAAACAATTAAACATCACTCATCACATCATTAAGAACACTATTCACTTCAGAGTCACAAAAAGAGAGTGAAACAACTTGTCACAAAACGTAAAAACTATGACAGTGGCGACCACTGCTCACGTGTTGACAACAAGAAACTACGGTAAGTACTTTAAGTCAAAAAACAACAAAAATCACTTAACTGTCACCAAAACAGAATACTGTACCATATGAACGATCACCATAGAACATAGCTTGTTACTGTAGTGCACCAGTAGCAAGATATGTTTTATGGTGATCACACATGGCCGAGATCATATATTCAACGATTATCGATCAGTATCAGTGTTGTTACTTATCATTGGTGTTTTTTTTCCTTACCCCTTTTCTTCTTTTCTTTTATCCTCTTCACCACTGATCAGCTCGTTAGCCATTTGAGCAATCGGTCACGTCTCTGTCACGCACTGTTGGCAAGTACTGAGCATGCACTGGCTCCTGAATGTACCTGAACCCGCTCCATTGTTGGTCAAGTCTGGTCTTGAAAGAGCTCACACTCGGTGCCGTCACAACACTTTCTGGCAGATTGTTCCAAAAGTTCACAACTCTCACTCCAAAAAAGTTTGCCCTCACAGTTTTCTGGACCTGCTGCTTCTTCAATCTTGAGCTGTGATCCCTTGTGGGGCGAGCGTCCGCCAGCTCCAAGTAAGGACACTCGACTGAGTAGTACAGTGAAAGGACACCACTAACGTTCAAATTTTACTGTACAGTACTGTACTGTACTTTGTTTTGGTGACTGTGAAGTGATTTATCTTATTTTTGTGACCGTAAATTCCTCTGGCCAGACGATGACCATCGTTGACGCGGATTGTTTACATCACCATCGTTAAAGCAGAATATCACAGATCGAGGATACCTGTATTGACAAAAGAGGTTAACACTTCCTATAAACAAAAGACTTCAACAAAATTATTATGTATTCACCTAATAAAAGCTTATATTGCTGATCAAGGAGGAGATGAGCAGACTGGCGGAATGCAGTGGCAAGACTACACACACCCATTGGAGTATGGCATCATCCATGGTTGTCTTCAACACTCACATCATGTCACTCTGAAATACAATACTGTACAGTATATAGTACAATATTGTACAGTATACCTGCCTTTGAAATACAATATATATATATATATATATATATATATATATATATGCAAGTAAATCACTGTAGGTGCGCGTGATCTAGGTATATGCTGATAACCACAAGGAAAGAAGAAAACACGAAGTTCCCAAGCGCTTTCGTGTAATTCACATCTTCAGGGGTGAGTACAGACTAGAGAGAGTAATACAAATCAAGGTGAACCATGCTCCACCCAACTCAACATACACCCGTAATAAGGGAGATAAAATGTTCCTCTAGGTATCCCCTAGACTCATGGTCTCAGTGTGCGACCCTGTATCACTCAGCTGGCCTCACTTTACCCCCAGTACATCCATAAAGCGGAAGGGAGTGAGCCAATCAGACCTTGTACAGTTGAGAGAAGCTTTAGCTTCCCGTTAGCAAGAGGGTTTCACTAAGCTGCTCGAGACATGTGGGGTTGTGAGCCGAGGTAGAGGAGGGCTGATGCCCCAACGATCGTCCCGTCGTCAGCTGGGCACCCAGACGGCTAGATTCCCTCAAGAGATCCTTTGATACCCCGCTAAACAGTGACAGGCCTACACTGATCGGTCCAATGGCGACAATCGCCACCCTCAATCATCAACGGCAGTCTCAAACGGCAGTCAATCTCTCGCAGTCAAACTCCGGTCAACTCCGGTCAAGTGGGTTCTGACGGAAACCCTGAAATGAACTCACTGTTAGCTCTAGTTTACTTTACCACTGCCCTATCTAACCCTGTCTGAGATCGAATGAGACTTACTTGTTATACTGCAATAGCGCAACACAGGTGACTAGGCCACGTGACTATTTCTGTGACGGACGCGCAGGGACGTCTTGTTTGTCTGAATGCTCCCCGTGACTGAGAGAGAGCCCGCCTCGTGTCCTCTCAAGGCGTTAGCTTAGGCCTACGTGACATATTTTCCGCCTAACTAATAACTCCTTGGGACACCCGTAACATTATTCAGACTGATAAACGATCTATAATAATATCATATAGGCCTAGTTCCACAAACTCCCACTATGTGCGGGGAGCGCTCTCTTCCCTCAGACGACCTTGAACGCTCAGTATCGCTAATGGCGGGGCATTTGAAATTACTCTGAAATTTCTGAATATTACAATCGACCCCCCTAAAAAAAGACAGCACTGTCCTCATGTGCTGAGAAAACATACATACGACCCCCCTAAAAATTTGTTCTAAGAAACTGCATCTTACCCCTTTTGCTAAACGCAGCATTCCCGTCTTCTCCACTTCTCTCTCCCGCTAACATTCGACTCCCCTAAAAAAAAAAGCACTGTCCTCATGTGCTGAGAGAACAACTTAGAAGCCACCTTCAACTCTGCCGTATTCCAACTCGCAGCCAGCAACTCCATTTCTTCCTAGCCCAACTCAAAACCAACCAGAACATCACGCTCCCCTTTTGCCTGGCCCTTAACTAGAGAACCAATGTCAAAATTAATACCAGCCCAAAACAAACATGCTCTCCTTTGGCCTGGCCCTTGAACTAAGAGAGCCAGTGTCAAAACAATACTCAGTCCATCTCAAACATGCTCTCCTTTGCCTGGCCCTTGAACTAAGAGGAACCAGTGTCAAAACAATACTCAGTCCACGTCTCCGAACCTCATGCCGGCAGACCAACCCTCTGACAATGTACCAGTCCATATTATTGAGGCCCTGGACATTACAACCGTACTCTCAATCCCGCTCATGACAGCAACCACTACTCAACGCACATCTCTGACCTAACCATCTCTCCAATCCCGTCTGCCCTACTCACAACTCCTCCAACTCACCCTCTACAACCTGCCTTTTCTCATTACCATGCACCCTAAACTGTAATTTGTCGGCTTCGTCTTTCAGTTGGAGGCTCGATCGACCTCTCTGAACTACTTCTCTTCATCTTGCTCATCTGGGGTGGGGGCTGCTCGTCTTCATCTTCAGATTCATCCATCGCTGGGTCTCCCGGATGCCTTAGGGGTGGAGCAGCCTTCAAGTTGCTCCGGTTTTCCACTCTCGCTTCCAGGTCTTCTCCCCCACTGGGCTCAATGCGGTATAAACCAGGCCTTGGATTTAGGACCTCAACAATGTGCCATCTCGTATCAAACCAATGGTTTTGGAGCTTACACCGGCCTATTTTTACATTGTTCCTCAGCAAAACCTCCTGGCCCACTTCCCAGCTACTCTCGTGGGCTTTCTCTTCTGGTCTTTGGTGGGAAAGGCCCAAGTGTAACGACTGTATATATCAACCATTATCAGAACACTCTCCAATCCTTGCCGCTTGTCCAGCAAGGTGAAATCTGCAGCCAGTGTCTCTAATGGTTTGGCAGCTTCAATCGTCCCTAAATGCAGCTGGGGTTTCGGCACTTCATCTTTTGCTACTCCACACCTCTCGCAGCTGGCTATGTAGTCTCGCACTGTTTCTCCCATGCCTGGCCAGAAACATCGCTCCTGCACCAGCGACAGGGTGCGATCTCGCCCCCTGATGCCCAAACTCGTCGTGGCAGGCTCTAGTCAAAGCCTCCTGCAAGTTTGAAGATAACACTGGCACCTCCCTCCATAGATTCTTCCCTTCGGGTCTTCTATGCCAGACAACCTCTTCTCTTACGATCAGGGATTTCCTAGCTCGGTACATCTTGCGGAAGTCATCATTTTGGAGCTCTACCTGTACCTCGTCCTCCGGCAGCTCTCCCGCCAACCATCTTCGCAGCTTTGTCATATAGTCCATGCCTTCTTGCTCCTTACGCAGCCCATCCATCGTCCACAGTTCCTTCCTTCCTGCCCCGTTCTCCTCTACTACATGCATAGCTGTATACTCTTCTTCGCTATCTTCCTCCTGTTCCGTCGGGATTCTAGATAGAGTATCCGCCACAATGTTGTTCTTCCCCGGCTTGTACTCTATAGTAAAGTTAAACTGCTCGAGATCCGCATTCCACCTACTTTCCACGGCACCTAGCTTAGCCTTCTCTCGGTGACTGAGTGGGTTGTTATCTGTATAGACTGTGAAATGTTTCCCTGCCAAATAATCCCTGAATTTATCCACTACTGCCCATTTGAGTGCTAACATCTCTAACTTATGAGAACTATAGTTGTTCATGTTACGTTCTGATTTCCTCAGGCCCCGACTCGCATAGCACACCGGATGCAACCTGCCATCCTTCCGCTGGGACAGCACCGCACCTAGCCCACGAAAACTTGCATCTGTTTCTAATATAAACTCCTGAGTGAAATCTGGGCAAGCCAACACTGGTGTCTGCGTCACCTTGTCTTTCAGTTTCTCAAAAGCCTGTTGCTGTTCCTCTCTCCATTCACTATCTACCCGATCCTTAGATTTCCCATGCATCAACGCATGCAGCAGAGCAGCTATTTGGGCAAACCCTTTAACAAATTTCCTATAAAATGATGTGAACCCTACAAAAGACCGCACATCTTTCACTGTCTGAGGGACTGGCCAATCTCTTACTACCCTAATCTTCTCAGGATCAGCTGTGATGCCTTCAGCTGACACCTGATATCCTAAATAACTTACTTTTGAAGCCATTATTTCACACTTTTTAGGTTTAAATCTTAAGTTATTCTCCCTCATCCTGCAAAATAATTCCCTCAATCTGACTATATGCTGATCTATTGTACTTGAAAACACCATCACATCATCAAGGTATACAAGCAACGAGGAGAAAATTTTATCCCCTAAAATCCGCTTCATGTATCTCTGAAAGGTTCCCGGACTATTTGACAATCCCATAGGCAGTCGCCTGTACTCAAAGTGTCCGAAGCTTGTGCTGAAGGCAGTCTTTGGACGGTCTGAAGGTTTTACTTCTATCTGGTGATATCCCGCCGCCAGATCAAAAGATGAGAAAAACTGGGCCCCCGTCAGAGATTCTAGAGTTTCATTTATCCTAGGCAGAGGAAACGCATCGCGTACCATGACCTTATTTAAGTCACGATAGTCAATGCACAACCTCAGCGTCCCGTCCTTTTTCCTCACTACTACAATGGCGGCAGAGTACGGACTCTCACTATGCTGAATTAATCCCTGATCTAACAGCTGGCTAATGTGCTGCTTCACCTCTGGTACCTGGTTTGGAGGGATCCTCCGATGTGGCACCCTAACTGGCCTGTCTGTGGTCACTGGGATCTCATGCTGAACCCCAATAGCCTTTCCTATGGGCTGGCCCTCCCCTTCAAAAATATCACTAAACTCTTCTATTAAACACCTAACTGCACGATCTTGTTCCTCATTCATTTCCTCCGTGTGCACTTTGACCTCCGTACGGGCATCCGGTTGAACTGTCCTCACATACACCTCTTCACTGATGTCTGCTCGACTTCCGTCCCAGAAGCCACTTTCCCAATCCGCCAATTGCCCCTCAAGTTCTTATGACTATCAGACAGATTTGCCACCAACACCTGGGTCATGCCTCTCACCACTCTTACAGCTGTCGGCAACACTATCACACCCTCAGGCATCCAACCTTCATCTGCCATTGTTAGAGGTTCAATCACTACTTCTTTGTTAGGTACCTGGCTTAATGAGGGAACACATACTGACAGCAACCGAGTACTCCGGGGAGGAATGGTTGGGCTTTTCTTCCTCTCTGTCATACAATACCCCAGGCTGATGGCCTCTATTGCACATAACTGCCTAACCTCATGCAAGCAATTTTCCCACTGAGCGGTGCTCCTGGCTTCCCTGCACAAGTGATACATGTGCGGCCAGATCTCCGCAACCTCCCCCAGCACATTCATCCCCAACAACCCGACATGCGATTGCCCCTTACCCTGGGTCTCAATCCCTGGACAAACCAACATCCCCACATCAGTGACTTCCACCCCACATACGACCATAGTGACCTGAATACCGTACACCCCACACACGGCACTGGAAACCCTGACGCCCCTTTTACCCTTATTCGAGTGGGCTGCAACACCACGCCTGCAGGCTCCAACTCCCGACGGTAGAAAAGTTC